GTTACCTGAGTGGCATCAGGCTTCATTTCAACAATTGTGTAAAGTTGTAGGAAGTATGTTTGGTCACACTATGCTTGCTAACTTGAAGTATATGTATTTAAAATGTACCGCAGCTACAGCCTACTCTATCTGAATTTTCAAAAAAGAGGCCTTGTAGTCTCTTTTATTCGCAGCTCTTGCAATTAGTCGTAAACGGTAAGGTACAAAATTAACTTGATTTAAAGTTAAAGTTTGCGTCAATACAAGTTTGCCAAACTCTTAATCTGATTTTGCATACACTTGCTATAAATGTTGACTGGGTTTGCCTTTAGACGTTTGTTTTTAGACCCTGAACAGGGTATATTAAGTTTGTCACGAAGTTTGTAACACCCAGAAAGTGTCCGTCTGTCTGTATATATACGAATTAGTCCCTCTGTTTTTAAGGTATCGTTTTGAAATTTTGCAAAAGTCATTTTCTCTTCAAGAAGCTGCTCATTTGTCGGAACTGCCGATATCGGACCAATATAACATACAGCTGCCATACAAACTGAACAATCGGAATCAAGTTCTTGTATAGAAAACTTTCACATTTGACAAGATATATTCACGAAATTTGACATGGATTACTGTTTAAGGTAATAATATAATCTCCGAAAAAAAATTTTCAGATCGGATTACTGTAACATATAGCTTCGATACAAACTGAACACATAATTACTAACAGAAATGCACCTGTGAAGGGTATTTAGCTTCGGTGCAACTGAAGTTAACGTTTTTTCTTGTTCTTTCTTAAGTTTGGAATCTTCGACTACCATTCGACATCAATGAATTCCGACGTCATATTTATAAATTCACTTCTCGTTACCAGTAAGGATGCGTTTCATGAATGTACAATGCTCAACTCGTGATGAAGGGGGTATTCTAGTTCAGAAATTTTAAATAATCGAATTTTTTTTTTCATAATTCGATAGTTTTGATATTCAAAAACATCCCCCGAAAAGGATTTTTCAAAACTCAAATTATTTTCAAAGTTATAGCTATTTTAGTGACATGGCAACTAGACCGGTTGAGCGAACTATCTATCTATCTATAACGCTGCCCGCAACTCAACGTAAAACTTTAAACGCGTTTTTCTCACAACTCCTTTTTTGATGCAGTAGCCACAATATCTCAAGTTCTAATCAGTCGATTTATTTGAATTTTTTCATGAATATTCTTTAAATATATTTCTATCACTAGAAGCAACAAAAAATAAAAATTTGAAATTTATAATATGTATTACAAAAAAAAAATGAAAAATTAGTGGAAAAATCGCCTTTTTTTGGAGTAGCCGCCATTTTATGAAAAAAAAATTTGTTTTTACTTTTGCTGCTTCATGACATAGCGACGTTCGTACTCATTAAGAATCTGTCACTGTTTTATTTTTCAAATGACGCAAGGGTAGAAATCATGGCGATGAGGCCACGTCCTCTTTTTTCTTCCCTTTTCTTCAAGGACGCATAACTCGATGAAAAATAAATTTTTGTTTTTGAAATTTATTTTGTGTACTCTTCTAATTTTAGTAAAGAAATGGTAAAAAAACGGATAGTAAATATATCTAGTGCTTCTTTTTTATTAATTGTTGGAAAAAGCTCGAAATTCGAGCCTCTAGACTTGAATACCCCTTAAGTCTCTCTTTTGTCACCTCTATTTGATGTCGCTTTTGCAAAATTTGGGTGTTTAGCATTGACATGTTTCATAGCCAAAACATTAATTAAATTGATTGAGTCTACCCAAAAGTAGTTTTGAGATCTTCTGCTGCCTCTCTGATGCCAACACGACGATTTTCGAATTTTAACTATTTTCGATGTTGTCGCTATTGGCAGCGGTAAACTCACATGAGACAAGTTTTAGATGACTTCACGACCTTCACTGGCTGTTTTGTTTAGTATTAGCATTGAAATAATCCCAGTTTCTATTAATATAAGTATATTTCGCTGATTCACAAGCAGGCTTACTTTCGTAAGTAAAAAAAGGTACTACAAACATCTAACCAGTACTTTTTTTTTACGATATTTTAGGTGTGGTGGTCGAATAGTTATGTCTATAGTCGAATAATATTGGATACAGCGTTTAGAGTACAGTTGGACTACTCGATGTGGCTGAACTGATACCCGAGAAATTACTTCTTTCAACTCTTTTTAGGGAAATAGCGTAAATATTAATCTTAGACCACTCAAAAATAATACAATATAACAATGTCACCTGACCAGATACAAAAAACTGTGTTATATATAGTTCCAAGATATTCATAGCCTTCAGTTTACTATTGACTGCTGGATAAAATTGAACACTTGGCGATATTCATATCCTTGCTTATATGTTTAATCTCTACAATGGTACTTTCCATATATTTTCCGTGTTTATGAGAGTGAGAAGTCTTCAGCACTCCAATACACGAAGTTTAAGTCGAGCTCGTTCTCTACAGCCATATGCTATTGGTTCGCTGAACTCTGCCAATATGGCCAGATATCTCATACAACTCATCGTTCCATCGACTGACCATAAATCTTCCGTAATAGCTTCCCCTCGAACACCGCTAAAGCCGACTTATAGGGAATAATGAGGATCTTGTAGAATTGAGTCTTTGTTTCGTCAACAGAGAACTTGCAAAGAAAATATTAGAATCTGTCTAAATATGATTCTTGTAAAGCATCTTGACCTGTCGCAATAAGTTAGTTATATATTCCTGCAGGCTTGTTGTCTAAAAGCAGTTACAATACTATATGATAGATACATAAGTCTGCATAACTCAAAATGAGTGTCGCTTCAAAGTGTCTGCAGCTTATACAAAACTGTTAACTCAGCCTCGAACACAAATTTCGTAATGTGCAACATTTGCGCAATTTCAGAAGTAAAGCTCATTGGTAGTCAGTCATAATGCCGAGTGGTCTTTCGCAAATTGCAATTATTAAGAGAATTATGCAGAATTCAACGTCAAATCAGTGCTGAAAATCGCGACAAACAATTCAAATTTACGCCATTAAAGGCAATGAGGCTCTAGCAGCAGGGTGTTGTGCATTATACGAGCATGCCACATTGCCACACATAAAGCATTCCGCAACTGTGGCGTTGGCAAGTTCAATGCAATATAATAATGTTGACCTTAGGCATTGCTTCGTGGTATATAAAATACGAAACTCACCTAACAATTGAAAAATAAAGTCACATGAATGTTCTAGTTTTGGGATTGCAACACACACAACATGCCACACAACAACTTGTTATAATATATATACTATATATTTGTACATATAGTTGTAAGCACACACATGTTGCATGTAAGCGACGTTATTTGCCGCACATGTAATAGTTGTGCTATGACAAAGGTTGCATGCCACATAAAATAAATTAAAAGTTTGTGTTTGTATAGTTTTTTTCTCGGTTTTACTTACCACTAAATGCCGAAAGCCAATGTCATGCGAATCGGGGTGCGAAAATTATGTGAGTATGCGCCCGAACAATGGCGTGCCCACCACCCGCTCGCTGGCCACCTGTCGCTATTGTTGCGCTGTTGGCCTTCAGGCGTATGGCGGTACTTACAGACATACCAACAAAGGTAACACACAGTTAGTTATGTAAGAACGTCCAAATATAAGCTTCATTGTTTGTGATGTGTGAGTATTTTTTACGACTTTATTATATTTCGGTATATGTAAGTATGTGTGTATGAATATAAGTATGCAAGAGCGCTTAATTGCGAGTATTTAAATACAAAGTTTTTTAGTTTTTTTATATTTTTGCTTTTCTTAAATGCTAAGAACAAGATTTAATAAATCCTGAAGTCAGTAACGATAACTTTTTATGCGCCAATATAGCTCGATGTCTTAGGATGGAATGAATGGCACCCTACTGAGGACTTTGGTTACGATATTTTGTTTTTATTTTTCATAACGGTTTCCAGAATTAATAGTATAATATGGAAAAACACCCTAAATCAGTAAAAAAGACAAAATTATTTCGAAAATATCTGAATAGCAACTTGAGCCACCTGGCAGTGAGTATCTGTCTTGGAAACGAAAATTCTTCTAAATAATCAAAATTTTTTGTTGAGACACTGTATAAATCTTACGAAATCGAAATAAATGCTGAACGGAAAAATTAATGCATCAAATATATTACAGAAAGTACAAGTATGTAGTTAGGAATTACTAATACGTAGCATATCCTTGAGAGACCCTCCATTGAGCTCATCTTTTAAAAGGATTGATTATGTTTGTAAGTATAAAATTAAAATTAAGCTTAACCTAGTTAAGTAACAGTAGTGCTTCAATGGAGAATTGCTTCAGTAGCTACTAGGTACATTTCTTATAGAAACTCAATAAATGCTACTAAAATTTTCTTCAATGGAGAAAGATACTTTTAAAAACTGTATCCACTAAAGAGCTAATACATTGTCCAATGCGCTTTCTACAGTTAAAAACTACAGTGAAAGAACTTACCTAAAATATGAAGGGATATAACAATTATGAAAGTTTCGATATTTCTCCAATTGGAGATTAACAGAAAACTCCTTCCTGAGACGAGATCAACTGTTGCAAGCAAAGTTTCCGTTGAAGAGACTTTTATTAAGCCTTTGCTTTATCGAAGAATGGAATACGCAGAATCCCTGATAAACTTACAAGAACTGACTTAACATATTAATCAAGTTCTCAAATTTTGAACGGGAAAAATCTCTTGCTTTCAGGGGTGGCAAATATTAAAAAATAGTATGGATTATTATATGTAGACATAAGTTCATTAGATATGTCTTTTTTGCACAGAAGTTGAGGAAGAATCTTCCCGATTTGATCAACATCATAAAGGGACCATAAATGTTCACTGAAATAAGTATTTTCAAGGATGGATCGAAATTGCAAGAACAAATGTGGGTTTTCCCGAAACATAAGTAGAAAACTGAAATTCTACTAGATAACTACTACAGCATAAATTCACCTGAAACATCATAAACAACTTGAAGTGTATTTGAATATTATCAGACTAGACCAATTAGGTCAACTATAGAAAACTTAAGTATAGACAGGCCCTTCGATTCGGATGGGATGAATACATAAATAGTTGCAACTAAGAGAAGTAATGTCTGTAGAAGAATTTTTCAGTAATTTAATGTCACAATAGATACCTCATTTTGCTGCAGCTTGTTTTTCAATTTTGCCAAAACTCTTTCACTTATATTTCCTCTTCTGCATACATTTCACAAGAAAAAATCATAATGTACGCTAGTTATTACCAATGTGGTATGCCCAGACTTCACCCATCCACCTTTCTGTAATATAATACCTTTAAGAAACAGGTGTTACCTAATCATCAGCTAAATGCGCTGTGGGCTGAGCTGCGATCGCCTTCGCAGCCATTGCTCTGAACTGCAAACCCTGCTGTGTGGCCGAAGCCCAACTGCGACGCGGCAGTATGCGACCGAAATTAAAGTAACGCTGCCTTAACTTGTCTTTGATCTCATCCTCATTCATAATGGCGCTTGCTTCGCGAAAATTCAAAAATATGCGCCCCTTCTCATCCGTTTTGATGGGCAAAATTTCCGTGCAGACATTGCGTGCCTTCAATAAAAAGCCTTCTTCCACATTTGACGAGCTCTCGTGCTCACCGGCGCTATCGGCATCACGGTCCGTCTCACCATCTTCGGCGTCAGCGGCGGCACTATCGAGTCGCGCATCAACCGACTGTGAACGAGGCGCCTTGATGTGATGATTACTATTGTGCTTCTTCTTGTTGCGCAAATAGAAGGGGTCGCGTTCGCTGGCCTTGACATATTGCACGACAGGCCGATTCACACCCCACTTGGGGCGGTCGTCTACTTTGTGATTGTGGTTATTATGTGTGCTCACAGTGAGACTTGCATTGTGTGGCACGCCGTCCTTCTGATTACGCTTATTACGTTCGCGTTCGCGTTCTTTCTCTTTTTCCTTTTCCTTGTCTTTATCTTTATCTTTGTCCTTGTCCTTTTCCTTCTCCTTATCCTTGTCTTTGGCCTTCGCCTTAAAGGTCGTGGTCGTTGTGGTTGTAGTAGTAGTTGTTGTCTCTTGATCCTTATCCGCCTCTTTAGCTGGTTTATCTTTGGTCTTAGATGTCTGCGTTGTTGTTGTGGTAGAAACTTCGCGCTTCAGTAGCACTTTGTAGAAATTGTCATGAAATAGGCAGAGATCGCAATTGAGTGGTAATTCTGTTTGTGTCTCCACATCCTGATGCGCTTGTGGTTCAATTAAGTGCTGCTTACCCGTAACTGCTGGCCTGGTCTCAAGTGGTATGAGCGCTAGCTCTTCGTGTTTGGGATTTCCATTAGTATTCTTAGTTAACTTATCTTCTTCCTTCTCATCCACCTTCTTCTCTTCAACCCCCACAACAGTCTTTTGCTGGTCTTCAACCACACTCTCCATCTGATAGCCATCTTCCGTGGAGATCGAAGTTGCCGTTCGTTGTGTGACATCGCCGGTTGTTTTCGAAAAGTCCATCGTCGAAGCAGCGGTATTCGGTTTCAGCTGCTGTTGCATCCAATATGTAGCGATCTGTAGATTCCCAATGGCATTCTGTAATCCAAATATGTCGGACGTCACGGGTAGCGGTATAAGCGTGGCTGGCTGCATGATAACAGCCACATTCTCGGGCTGTACGTCGACTTTAGCCTGCATCTTCTTCGGCTCCTTCGTAGCCTCGGTGGCATTTACAATTTTCTTCTTAATATTTCGTCGTAAGTTTATGGGCGTACCTATGAGCACCCTCTCCTCTTCTTCTTCTTCTTCTACCTCTTCAAGACGTTCCACATTTTTGGTCTCCAAAGTTAGTGCTTGTGATTTAGTTTTCATTGCTGGATTCTCAAACAACCCAGCTTCCTCCTCTTTTGGCGGTGGTGTTGTGGATGGCCCCGCAGGCTCCTCAACATTCGGTACTGCGTGTGCCCGCTCAGTTTTCTCTCTCTTGTCAGGTTGTCTTTCATACTCGGCTTTGTCATCGTGTTGTTGAACGGTTACACTTCTCTTCGGTCGATTGCGAGTATTAACTTTCGCTTTTGTCATCTTAACTTCCTCTGCTTCTGCAGTCTCAGCCTCTTGCTCCTTCTGCTCCTTCTCCATCGGCGGCACACGTTGCTTACGCTTGCGCTGTTTGTCCTGCTTAGCTGCCTCTTCTGCCTTCGCAATCGCATCCAACATTGCTTGTTGCTTCTTCTTTTGCACCGTTTCACGTTCCATTTGTTGCCGCCGTTCATATTCCAAACGTTCCTGCTCCAGTTGTTTCTGCCTACGTAAGCGCTCCTCTTCCAGCATTTCCTCTTGCTTGTGTCGCTCCATCTCCCACTTGCGCAACATTTCGCGCTCGTGCAGCTGCTGTTTGATCGCATTGTGATACTCGGCTGCCTTGCGTCGTTTGTCGATGCGTTCGGCCATAGTGACGGGATCAACGGGCGCGTTCTGACCGCGTAAATAAGACGAGTGCATCGATTGCGTGTCGTCTTCGCTATCCTTCAGCTCGTGTAGGCCACGATTCAGCCAGTTCGGACCGTTAATAGGTTTCCCCGTGTACTCACTGTTGCTATTGTAATTAGTCCACTTAGCACGTTCGCGTTCGTCGTGTGTCTGCTGTGCTGTTGTTGCGTTGGCATAGTACTCGTGCTGATCGCCGGGATGTATGGGGTATGTATTGGAGGTGGAAATATCGCGTGTGCTGAGGTTGGAGGGACTCAGCGGTGTCATGTAGTAGCTGCATGAAAAGAAAAGAAAACAGTTTACATATTAAAAAGTTATATCAGAGTTGCACAGGAGAACTTAGAAACCGTCGTCTTGACAGACACTTCGATAAAACAAACGCGCCCGCTCACCTGCCCTGGCAACTGTCGTCCATGCCGCTGTTATATGAGCGTGCCACAACGTAGGTGGAGTTCATAATTTGTTGTTGCTGTTGCTGCTGTTGCACCTCATCGCATGCATATTGTTGCATTTGTTGTTGCTTCTGACATTTCGCCAGTTGTTGACCTGTTATTGAACGTTTAGCGCGTCCTGCCACCTCGTTGGTTCCCGCAATGACGCCGTCCACACCTACGGCAATGGGTGCCGCACCCAACTCCACACCACTGCCATCAGCGCCCAACAAGCCGCTATTCGTCGTGCTGCTGCCGCTGCGTTGCAAACTGGCGGCATCGTTATACCAGATTTCCGGCGTGTGTGGGTTCTTCGGTGAATCGCTGCGATAGCCTGAGGTGTCTTCCTCCGGGCAACCAGGATTAACTGGATTGTTAGATCGATGAAGCGCGTTGCTAGGCGCACCCACAGGAATGCCATCACCGCATACCGCCGCTGGCGCAAGTTGTGTAGCTTGTGGTGGTATTTTCTGTTGCGGTATGCCACCAGGCATTCGCTGCTGCTGCGGCGCCTGTCGTTTGACGTAGTCCTGGTGGCGTATTATCGGCAAACTTGGGCTGCGTATGCGCATTTGTGGCGCAAGCGGAGGTTGTTGCTGCTGCTGTGGCATTGGCGGTGCATGTTGCATGCGCGCTTTGGCCGTCTGCAGACCCGCACCGGGCAACGTCAGCTCATCGTAAGCATATTTGCGTTGTCCTGGTATTTGCGACATCATGCTGGTCGTGTGATTTCGACGTCCTGGTCCATGTGGCATGAAGGTGGCACGTCGCGCCGGCGGACGCATGCGTTGGTAGCCGCAATCATCATCTTCATAATCACCATCAATGCCCAGCTCATCGTCGACCACGTCTACGTAGCGCTCGAGTTCATAGTCATAGCTATTGCCACCGCGTAAATGTTGTTGTTGCTGCCGTGCAGCATGTTGCACTGGCATGTTGCTTTGTGTCAGCGGCACGGCGTAAGGATTGACGTTGTGTTGCGCATAGCGTGGCAGCAATTCTGGTGCGTACGGTTGCAATGGCTGCTGCTGTTGCTGTTGCTGTTGCTGGAATAATTGCTGACGCGAGCTGCGCTGTTGACTCACATCCATATTCGAATAGTAGGTGCGTATGGAGGTGCGTTCGATTTTGTGCGAATGATGCGATGATGCCATGGTTGAGTGCTGATGATGGTGCGAGGAGGAGATGAGTTCGTCCATGCGCGCGATTTCCTCTGAGATAATAGGACAAATTTAATGATTACAAATCATTAAGGGTAACATAATCAATAAAAAATATAAAATTTTAAAATATTTGCTTTGTTTAGGTTTTTTATCTTTATATTTGTAGATGAGTACATATGTACATACGTATAAATGATATAAATTATTTTTAGGATTATTTCCTAACCTTTCATCTTAATGTCGTGGAAACTTTTTCACTCGTTTGAAACCCTTATTATTTGCTTATACTAGCATGAACTCTACTGGCGGCCTAACTTTTTCTTCATAAAATACTCGAATGAGATATTACTGGACTGATTCCAACAGTTTGAATTAGAAGGCTGATTTGTTTGCTCTCGAAATTTTATTTAAATATAGAATATGTGCACCCCTTGCTCGATTTTTTCTGTTGCTGAGGCACCAACAACTTTTGATGCCAGAAACTTTTAGGGTCGGATGAAAAGATGCTCTTACAGGAGATGCGCTTTGAGGCTAGCGCCAATAGCAAACCACTCGCCAGCCTATCGAACTTATATGAGATTCAAAAGGTTTTGCTGTCAAGGTAGCAAAAATGTAGACTTAAGGCGATAACGTCGCAATGTCTAGACTTCATCGTTTTTCAAACAGGTTTCACCATAATTGTCGTTGAAACATTTAAGCCTTTCATAGTTATTATGCTAGTACCGTGAACAGAAAATGGTTAGACTAACTAACTAACTAGAGAGAAATGGAGTTCCGCAAAATTTCTCAAACCAAAAACGATTTAAAAATAAGATTACTTCATAACCGCAATGCAAAAAATGAGCACAAAACCATGTTAGTAATAATAGACAAGGTATAAACTACTGATTCACTACTTCTTTGAAAAATTAAAATTGGACAAACTGGTACTTTTCATCGTCACTCAGCCAGATCTGATTTCTATAAATGTTTCTTGAAGTTACAAGCGAATATGAAAAGACGTTTTTCTTAAAATGCTGTTTTCAAATTCGGTGATCCACATTTCGATAATTTAGAAAGTTTTCTCAAAAAAAAATTTTGAAAAATCGCTTTTTTTCGGCCTTCTAACTGTATATAACCTCTTTATGAGTAATATAAAAATATTGTTTATGAAATCCCATGATGATCAAACAATTTTTCATAACCAAAAAGAAATAATTAGTAATATTACTATTACTTAGCTATAATAAGCACCAAAATGGCAGAAATCGTAACAGAAATTCATAAAAATATAAAGTCTTCCAAGGGTCTTTGCATCAGTTGAGGTATATTTCACAATTTGTAATCTCTTCACTCACTCTCGCGGTAAAGATCTGAACTTAAATTTATTGTAATTTAGCAATGCTTAAAATAACATAAAAAGAGTGGTCTTCTCCTTGTCAATTTCTACCACAAAAATTTCATGTAAAGTGTCAGCAACAAAGCTGTAAACAAAACATTATTCAAAAACCTTAAGAGCTTTGAAATCCATTAAACGTAAGTCAAACAAGTAAGGAAGGGCTAAGGTCGGGTGTCACCGAACATTTCATACTCTCGCATGATAAAGTGATAATCGAGATTTCAGGCGTGGTTGTGAACCGATTTCACCCATATTTGGTATATGTCATCAGGATGTTAAGAAAATATTATATACCGAATTTCATTGAAATCGGTTGAGTACTTCCTGAGATATGGTTTTTGGTCCATAAGTGGGCGACGCCACGTCCATTTTCAATTT